TACAGGCACCTTTTCATCCTGAGGCCATAGTTGATGGGCTCAATGTCACGCTCACACTCAGATATTGTTTCTTGGATTTCATATTCCAAACATTGTAAAAAGAGCTTTTCAGCAGAAAGGACATACACCACCATCTCCCATGAGAAAGTTGTGATACCACAAATGATCCAGAGGCTTTCCTTTCAGGAAGATCAAAATGGGAAAAATTAGGTGACCAACTGGACAGGAAGCTCACTTACAGAAACACTGTGCACTCCCAGTGGCCCATTCGTACTCACCTCCTTTTGAACATCACTGATCTATGAGCAGCCTTCCTAGCTTTACTTCACTTGTATTTTCTTTGGTACAGACACACACACATGTTGAGGCTGGATGGCAGCTGCATACATAAGTCATCAGGGAGGTAAAAGGAATCATGAAAGATCAGCCTCCCATGACTTGGACTCAGCTGTATATATCGAGTGTGGGTGGAAGAAACAAAACAACATCTTTACAAGGACATATTTCAGATCCTTGGCCAAAAGTGAGGTAATTCATATAAAGATATTATGGCTACCGCCCAGAGAAACTAGAGGACTCCTTTTTCAGAAATACAATTTTAGGGACTTGGCACAGGATGCTGTTAGTGGAATGCGGTTTGAACTGGCATCAATTTTTCCTCCTGTGGCAAAAGTGACCTCACCACTGGTTTTTGGAGAGGCCTGTTTGCCAGCCTCCTGCCCTGTGACTATGGCCTCTGTAATGAACTTTGGGTTAAAGACTCTGGTTGTGCCTCTTGGAATGATAACAGGAACAATCTGAACTTTCAAAGCGACACTTCGAAGTCCCGAAGCCATTCAAACACGTGGCAGCAGCCATCTTGTTTAGTCGAACGCTTGCAGTGGTGTTTGGTCGTCGAGTGCATGGAACTCAAATCGGACCCTCAACGGCGCTAATACCGCTAAAACTTTACCTTCCATGGATGTTTGGCTATTCAAACAGGAGTCGGTGTTCGGTAAAAAGAAATTCACGAACAAGAGACATACACTGACTTTATCCACGAACAGCTATGTTCGGTATTTCAAACTGTACTTCGAATCCTTGAAGTAGACCGGCTGCACAGCCTGATTCTCTGGAACAGTTTTGGGCATGGGACCGGTCAAAATATGACTTCCATAGAATTCTTGAACCCCTGAACTGATCTGGGTGGTTTTTGGATATATTGGTCACCCAGACCAGGGCCATCAGGGGATATCATGTGTTTGTGGGGTACTTTTGGGGGTTTGTAAAATGTGTTTTTTCTGCCTGGAGATAATTGAATTGATACAGTATCTGACTCAGTTATGTCCCAGGCAGATGGGAGAGATTGCATGTTTGTTATGGGAGCACTGGCGTACATACCGCGACCGCAGGGGTCGCAGCTGCGACGTGGCCAGTCACTCCAGGGGGCCCAGCCTCCCTGCGACTAGGTGCCCGCCGTTATCATTTGCGGCCCCAACCTGCGCGGCAAACCACCGGGGCCGCATGTTAAGGTGCCCACCTGATGGGTATGGATTGTCAGGGAGCCTGGTCAGCGCTGGGCGCTTTAACAGTGCGACCGGGCCCCCTGTGCTGAGATCATCACACAGCTGGGAGGAAGTGACTGCACGTCACTCCTCCCAGAGCCCGCGTGGGAGGAAGAACAGGGAGTCAGAGTGGGAACTCTAACTCCCATCAACCTGAGCCACCACTGGACCCCAGGGAAAGTCAAACTCCTGTACCTAAAAGGTAGGAAAAAGGAGGGTGACTTCAAATTATGTGTGTGTTTGTATGTATGTGTCTATCTGTATGTATGTGTCTTTGTATGTGTGTGTCTGTATTTGTGCCTGTCTGCATGTGTCTTTGTATGTATGTTTGTCGTGTGTGTCTGTGTGCCTGTTTTTATGTATGTATGTGTCTGTGTGTGTGTGTGTCTGTCTGTCGGAGGGGGGGCATGGCCATGGGATATGTGTACACCACTGTATGGGAGTGTCGTGCATTTAATCACTGTTTTTATTGGTCTGTGTCTTTGTGTTGGAGTCCCCAACAAAGTGCATGTGGGGATTGCATGGGGATTGCATACCCCTTGCATGGGGATTGTCATAAAAGACCAGTATGGCACCATTAAAACAGAGTTCCTGCTTACCATCAACATAGTCTCATCTCATGTGTGGGGGGATAAGGGCTGTGTCTACCCTGGGGATTGCAATCCCCGAAGTATTGCAGGATGACTGCAATAATACCTATACTCCCCTGGGCTTATAACCACTAGCTCTTTTAAGAGCTGTTCCTGCTATACTATTTGGAGTAGGAGAGGTTCACCCACTGGAAGCTGGATCTTGGGTCCAGGGTGGATGGAGGATGGTGAGTTCCCAGGCAAGTTGTAATGCTGTACATGGGGACTACAGTGCTGATGGTGTCGGGTGGAGTGCTTGGAGTCCTCGGTGAGCACTAGAAGCATCAGTTGGCGGAGGCATGCGGTTAGGGTGCCAGGCGGTCCGTCATACCTCCTATCCCCCTTACCCCTGCAGGCTGAGGAAGAACTAGAGAGAGATAATGGCAGGATGATTGCAACAATACCTTATTGACCACACCATCCTTGATCAGTCTCTACCTATTGAGACTGACATTCTTGTGGCACGGGGACAGATTACAAGCCAAGAAACAGATCATGGCGTTTGAGGGAAAGCTTTCTACTTCATTGTGCTCCCAAAAGTTCCTGATTTCCATTGTCTATTATAACGTCTGGGCAGCCTTCTCCAGCTGGCAACTCTTCAGTGTACAATTCATGAAGTGTTCTACTCACTTGGAGGTTGGTGCTCCTACAATCATCTTTGATCCAGGATCCGGTGGACTTTAAGGGGAACTTTTATTGCCATTTCAGCTTGCTGGAATTTAAGGGACTAAGGATCCAGTCATAATTTGCCTTTATTTATTTTTAAAGCATCAAAGTAAATTTTTTAGGTTTACCTTTGGACGTACCTGCTTTGAGACCCGACTAAACTACTGGAAGATGCATCTCTTCCCACACTATGCCAGGAGACCTTGCTTCTGTGTGCATTCATTTTGGCAGCTACATATGTTGGATAGTAGAGCCTTTTCAGCAGAGAGGCCATACACCACCATCTCCCATGAGAAAGTGGTTCTAATAAACATATCTTAGGTTTGTAAAGTAATCTGGTTAAAATTAAAAAGGAAAACAATTTGTGATTGAATTAAGGATCATAAATTGGACCATACACACACAACTAAATTTCTTCTTCCTAAAGCAAATGTAAAGCAACTGTTAATTAGTAGAGATGAGCGAACCCGAACTGGAAAGTTCGGGTTTGCACCGAACATTACGGTTTTTGGAACCCGAACATTTCAGTGTATGTTCGAGTTGGAGTTCGGTGATTTAATGGCGTGTTTTCAAAGGCTGCAGGGCAGCCAATCAACAAGCGTTTGACTTGTATACCCTTAGAAGCCATCACAGCCATGCCTACTAATGGCATGGCTGTGATTGGCCAGTGCAGCATGTGACCCAGCCTCTATATATAAAGCTGGAGTCAGATAGCTCATGTGATGTGCGGCGCTCTTATTGGTGTAGGGAGAGGATGCTGCAGCTGTGAGGGACAGATTAGTAAAGAATTATGGTGTTGAATCTGCAAACTACAGCGATTATTTTTGTGGGTGCTATACTACATTTTTGTATCCTGCCCTGAGCCCAGTGCCCCAGAGAGTGCAGTGCACTTGGAACTGCATGTGTGCCAGGCACATTACTTTAATCCTGTTCTGGTAGCTCAGTGGGCAACAGCTACACATTTTTTAATTATTGCAATTTTTTCGGTGCTAAATAGTACATTTCCATACTGCATTTCTTGCAGTCTAATAAAACCCTTAAATGCTGCTGTTACATTGTTGGTTTTAAAAAAGTCACTCTTTTGTGTGCTAAATAGTACATTTGCAGCCTGCGGTGCACTTCATATCTGCTGTCAAATACTGTGGTTACAGCGCAGTTTTTAAAATTCAAATTTTTTTGGTGTTAAAAAGTACATTTGGTGTATGTGTGCAACACTGGCTAGTTACCGCTTCTCAAGAACGTCTAAAGACAAATAAATGTTGCCTATGGTGCAGGTAGAAGGCAAGACAGACAAATCATTCGGGTTATGTTTGCCTATTGACATGTTAATGATCTTAGACCATTAAAATTCAATAATCCAATGAAAAAAAAAACACACTGTCATACATAAATATGTATTATAGACAAGTTAAAAACAAGACTACAAGTCATGCTATAACAAAATTAAACAAGTTTTAAAATATGTATGGGCCAACCAGTGGCTGTAAAAACAAAGTTTTACTGGTTACATACATGACTACACACTCTAGTGAACAGGACCTTCATGTTGTGGGTTTTGTTTCAAAAATCATACAGCATCCTTTCATGTGCTTTTCAGATTGTTAATTACCAATTTTTCTTTAGCCTGATTTTTATTTTTTTTTAAAGTGAAAAATAAGTTACTGCCATCCCTTTATATACAGAAGCATTAATATACATTTCTATATTGTGTAAAGACACAACTACAAAGTTAAAAACCAAACACCAAAACAACGTGCCAGACAATCTACCTGTGCATGGCTAGTGTGATACAATAAGTCTACATCTTAAAAATGCAATAACCCACAAAAGATGGGCGAGAATTTTTTTTTGCAAATGGGTGCAAAAACAGAGAGGCCATCCCCTAGCACTCGTCGGCATGTATTAGCTTTAGAATTACCACTGTTATCCAAGTAACAGAGCGATCAAAGGAACCATAACTGATTTAATGAGCCATTCACAGTTTCACTGTATCGGCTGTGCACCTTTCCGGCGTTCTCACCCTGCTGCTGCTTGCCTGTCTGCGCTGCAGCGTAACTTCTGCCTTCCCGCTCACCGCCTCATATGCGACGTGCCCACAAGGTGGAACTCCACCTTGCAAATGCTGGAGAGACTGTGTGAGCAGCAGCAGGCGATAGTGGAGTTTCAGCTGCAGCATGCACGGGTCAGTCACTCTACACCAGACTTGCCCTTCAATAGATCCTCGTTAAAGGATTTAAAGTGTACTCATTCCAATTACAGGGCCTCGAAAGAGTCCTGTATTGTTATTTATCGTCACTACCTCCCAGTGTCGGGAGGGGGTAATTTGCGCGCCTGTTGCCTTCCTTGGATGTGGTAGCCGTTTTTCAGGCTCCCTCTCCAGAATCGAACCCGGATTCCCCGTTACCCATGGTCACCGTGGTAGGCGCAGAAAGTACCATCGAAAGTTTATAGGGCAGATATCCGAATGCGTCGTCGCCGTCACAGGGACATGCAATCGGCCCGAGGTTATCTAGAGTCACCAAAGTGCCTGCGCAACCACTGTCAAGTTGCCCACATTCTAACTTGTACTGATTACTGGGTGGCCAGTCCTTAATTCCCTCACTGGAGCATGATCGGAAGATGCGAGACTACAAGCACACGCTGGTAGACGCGCTGCTGAGGTCATTCCCAACTGACACCGGGGGCTCAGTGGAAGCACAAGACTAAGGCAGAGGAGGAGAAAGGTCACCAACGCAGCTGGGGCACCATCAGCACCTCAGAAGGCAGGGTTAGCATGGCCGAAATGTGGAAAAGCTTTGTCAGCACGCCACAACAACCAGCACCACCAGCTGATATGGAACGTCTTAGCAGGAGGCAGCATTTCAGCAACATTGTGGAACAGTACGTGTGCACACGCCTACACGTACTGACTGATGGGTCCGCCCCATTCAACTTCTGGGTCTCCAAATTGGGCACATGGCCTGAGCTTGCCCTTTATGCCTTGGAAGTGCTGGCCTGCCCTGCAGCCGTGTATTGTCTGAACGTGTGTTTAGCAGAGTAGGGGGCGTTATCACAGACAAGCACAGCCGCCTGTCCACAGCCAACATGGACAAGCTCACGTTTATTAAAATTAACCAGGCATGGATCCCACCAGACTTGTCTGTACTTTGTGCAGAATAGACATTTATACCGGCCTCACCCAGCCATTATTATACTCAAGTGCACTTATTCTTTGTTTTCTTTTTTTATGTGTCCCAATATTGTGGGGGCTACCCCAATTAAAAAAAACAAAAACAGTGTTGGCTACCTCCTCCACAGTCACCGCCTCCTCAACCTTCTGCTCCACATCCTCCTCCTAGAGCAGGGTGCAAAAGCGGAGCGGCCGTCCCCTATACAGTACGTCTGCTACTGCCCACCGCACCCAGGGACCGAGCACACCAAAGCCAGCTCCAAGGAGTTCCCGGACATGGCAGTTCTTCAGACAATGTGCTGACGACAAGACACTAGTGGTTTGCACGCTGTGCAATCAGAGCCCGAAGCGAAGCATAAATGTTCTAAACCTGAGCACAACCTGACCAGGCATCTACATGCAAAGCACGAGCTGCAGTGGAGTAAGCACCTCAAAAACCAAGAAAGGTTTCAGGCTCCTCCTGCTTCCTATTCTCTCTCAGCCTCTTCCTCCACCTCTGGAGTGACAGGGGCACCTGTCACCCCGCAAACAGAGGATGTGGCAGCAAC